CGCACAGGGGAACAGCCAAGCTGGTAGATGTGACCTTGTGACCCAGAGCTTGGAGGAGCCACCCCTGAGGGCACATCTGGGGCTGTAATTTCGTTTGTGTTTCCCTATGACCCTCCTCCAGGCCCCAGGCCAGGGTTTGCTGTGGCTGGGCTTCTGGGAGGCCTGGTTGATAGCAGTTTGGGTCCTGCAGTGGGGTCTTGGTTCTAACTTCTCAGGCAGAGGCTGGTGGGGCACTGGGTCATGGCTGAGGGGAAATCTGAGTCTGAGGACCAGGGGTAGAGTGAAGATGGCTCAGGGCCGGGGTCCCCTTACTTAAGCTGGTCCAGTGTCAGCCAGCGGGGATTGGGGGGCCGTTCTGGCCCCACATTTAAAATCTAAATTTCTAACAATAGCTTATTGTTTCTGCCACTGCCGAGAGCCAGGTGGGCAGGTGGGGGTTAGCACAGCCAAGATGCCCTCTTGACCTCCACCTTCAGCACAGACTTGTGACCTTTTCCCAGGAGAGATGTGTCCTGAGAGACTCTGCAGCCAGGACCCCCACCAGGCTGCCTTTTGAGTCCTGATCCCCATGCAGGTGAACACCCCCATGGTCCTAGAAACCATGTATCCCAGGGCTAGGAGTATCCTCACGACCAGCATCTAGCCCCTGGGTAGGAGCTGCTACCCTGCTAGCTGAGGAACTCTGTGTGTGTGTGTGTGTGTGTGTGTGTGTGTGTGTGCACTGCATGTTTGAGGTAATGTGTGTGCAGAGGTGTGTGTGAGACAGGGTGGGGGTGAGCAGACCTGGAGGCCCAGCTCTCAGCCTGGTTCCTTCTTCTCACTGAAACCCTGGGGGCTCCGACTAATGGCCCCTGCCCTTCCCCCACCCTCCCTAGGGAAGTCTGACCCTCTCTGGCTGTTGTCCCCAGAGCCCACATGGCAACCCTTTCCCGGGACAGTGGTTAAGGCGGCAGCACCAGGAACTCTCCGCCAGGAGTCTAGCCTCTTGCCCCGCTTTGGGCGAAAACTCAGAGGGGCGGGGTGTAGGGCTGCGGGCCAAGGACCTGGTGCCCTGGGTCACTGCCATGTGCCCACTAGCCCTCCTCTGCCACTGTAGGGTGTGCTGGTGCAGAGGGTGAAGGGAGGGGGCTGCTGTGGACGGACTGGAGGGGTGGGGTCCCACCTGGGCTGCTCTGCTCCACGGGGCCTGTGCAGGAGCAGGTGCAGCCGGACCACTTAGCCCCTCCCACCCCAGGCTCCTGCAACTCCAAATCCCTTCTAGGCAGCGCTGGGGGCAGGGGAAAAGGTCCCCCGCCTGGGTAGGGGCTGCTGGGGCACCCCCATGGCCCCTTGAGGGAGGCACAGCCAGCTACAGCTTGCTGGGCCGTGGTGGGCTCGATTAGCCCCCTGTTTTATTCAATTAGGAGGCAATTAGGGATCCTTGGGGGGCTGTACTGGTAATTAAGGTGATGTATAATTAGAGTTTCAACAAAAATTATCCAGGATTAAAAATCTTTTGAATAATTTCGTTTAAAATTTTCAAATAGCCTTAAATACAATTTATCAGGTTTTGAATCAAACCCGTGTATCAAGTGTTGGAAGCTGCAGCTCACGTAGCGGGCGCCGGAGGACAAGGAGCGGCCAGGGCGCCTTCCCTGTGCGGGAAAGAAACTTCCTGAGGAGGGAGCCTGCCGGGCCTCACTGCAGTGCAGCGCTCGGCTTGGGCGCAGAGTCCGCTACCTGGCCCGAGGGCCAGTAGGCGTGCATCGGCGGGAGTTGGGCTCGGGCTAAGGGACTCCGGACCCTGCGGGTGGTTGCCGAGGCTCCTTGGCCCCCAGCGCACAATGTCGCAGCCGCTACCGCACGTGGGAGAGTGCTCGCGTCTACAGGGGTGCAGTCGCTGACCCCGACCCACCCAGCCATAACGGTGCCTTTCTCCTTCTGGTCCCTGTTCCAGTCTCAAGGGTCCCCGCCTCTTGGCTTCCGGGGTGGAAAAGGACAGTTTCTGCACTTGACTCCCCAGACCCTCGCCCCGGTGCCGGCTCGCCCTTCACTGCCGCTGCGCTGACCTGCATAGAGAGTGCAGGGGTGCAGCCAGGGTCCAAGTCAAGCCATGGGGGTCGGGATCCTCCAGGGAAACTGTGAGGGGGAGGGAGAGGGCTTTCGAGGGCCGTGCTGGGCCCACCGCCCTTCTGAGCATGATCCCTGAGCCCAGGTTCAGCCTTGGTGGTGTTTGGGCTGCAGCTTGAGCCCTAGTCCTGCTGGGCAGCCTTAGGAAGCTGAGCAGGGTCCCTGTAGGGGAGCCCCAGGTATATGACCCCACTCTCCCCTCTTTGATTCTGGGAGGCATGGAGTAGCTGGCACCTCTTATAGGTATAAAAACCCCAGGTACAGAGTGCAGCTCTCAAAGCCGCACAGCAAGTTCAGGGTTCAGGAAGTCAGTTATGTGAAGACTCCCAGGTCTTCACAGGAGTCTAGCCTCTTGTGCACCCCCAATGCACAGGGCACTGCAGGTGGTGGCTAATTCCACAGGGGTTTTAATTTTTTTCTCTCTCGTGTGTCCAGATCCAAGCATTTTTTCCAAGGCTGGTGCTCGGTTTGGAACAGGTCTGTTTAAAAGGCAAGACAGACATCCATGTGCCGCTGCTGGTGAACGTGGCGGGAGTGAGCTCTTATCTCTGCTGCCAGCAGGTTGGATTCTTTATTTGCTCAGGGCTGGACTCTCTGCTCCGGGGAGCTGTGACCAAGCTTCTCCTGACCGGGCTATAGGTGCCCTCTCACAAGGGCAGCTGCAAAGTACCAAAGTGTTGACCAGGGAGCGTATTCTCTGCACCCTTCTGCCCCCATCATCTTCCCCCTTCCCAGAGCAAGCCCAGGACTCTGTGCCTGGCCCAGGAGGTGTAGGAACCTGTCTGCTCCCCCACCCCACCTGGAGGGAAGTAATCAACCTTCCTCTGCTCCAGGCAATCAGAGAGACTTGGAGTGGCTGCTGCTTCTAACGCCAGCTGTTGCTGCTGCTGCTGCTGCTGCTGCTGCTGCTGCTGCTGCTGCTGCTGCATGTCCTGAGCTGCAGGGCCCAAGTGAGGTAGCTGGTCCAGCTTGGAATCAGCCGTTGTTCCTCAAGCCTGTGACCTCCTGCGTCCACAGTGTCCATTGTAGGCTGAGTTCCCCTAGCTCTTATGCCCCTGAGCAAGAAAGGGTTGGCCTCTTCCTGCTCTGACTGTGCTCTTCTCCGGGTTTCAACACCAAATCCTCACCGCCTGGAGGTGCCCTGGCCGTCCCACGGGCCAGCCTCTCCTGACTCGGAGGAACAATGCCGGAGCTGGAAGACAGGAGAGCCGACCACTCGAGATACATATTTATTTAATAGTTAACGTTTTGTGCAAAAAAAGGAGGGAAGTCGGATTCTGGTGAGGGCTTTGCTTATTTTATATCCACTATAACTATTTCTGTCCATGAAAATTGGCTTAATTATATCAATGGAATGTTTCTTTTTCAATTCTGTATGCAATTAGTCCATCTTGCCGGCTGCAATTTATTTTAATAAAAAAATAAACCAGTGGTGTGTTCAGTTCCTCGTCCCCTGGGGACAAATGCGATTGGTGTGTTTAATTTCATTAACTACAATGCGGCCTACTGGAAAAATGTATAAAATCAGCTTTATACAGCTTAAACACTGGCATTTGAAACAAATCATTATTGCATTAGCTGTCACACTGGTAATTCTAGAATCTAAGGAAAAAAATATATTATGGCTGTTTTTATAACCCTTTGCAAATGCACTGTTAAAATAATTTATAATCATTTTAAAACATGGCTCAGTCCTGGTGAATATTTCATCTCCTCTAAATAAGGCTCTGCATTATCCTGTGCACACTTTACATACGGAGGCTGTGCCATTTCCACTCATCACCCATTTTTCAAGGTGGAGGCCTCAGAGTCTGTCTTTAAGCAAACCTGATGAACGATGGGGCTGCTCTTTCATTTTGGCCTGAGCGCTGCTCTTGAGAGGACGAGGTGCAGCCGCAGAGTCATCTTACACCCACCACGGGTCACAGGGGACCCCTGAGAGGCCAGTCTCCCTGCTCAGGTGGGAGAAAGGATCGACAGTCAGCATGCAGCAAACCACCCCGTGCACGGTGCCCTGAGCTCAGAGCTGGGACCCGCGAAGTCTCCGAGGTCCTCCCACACCCGCTTCCTAAACTCAGGGTGCGGGTCCTGCAGGATGGACGCAGAAAAGCCACCCAGCATGTATGTGCTGCTTCTGGGTGGAGACCTGTGTCCGAGAGTGGTGTTCATCTCCTGCCTGTGTTCCAGTGAGCCTGAGTGTGTGTGTGTGTGTGTGTGAGAGAGAGAGAGAGAGAGAGACCCACCTTGCCCTGGCTGTCGGCTGAGTTTGCCGAGGCTGAGGGGGCTGATGGAGGTGGCGGCCCTCACTGCAGCCACTGAATAGCCGTGCACCATGGACTGACCTGCGGGGAGGGTGGCGGGCAGGGGAAGGCTCCCTGGATTCTTCGCTTCTGCTTCTGAGGTGCACTCTGAGGAGAACTGAGTTGTGCTGGGGACTGCCCGGGTAACGGTTGCTGCTCTTCCTGGCGTGGCAGTGGCTCAGGGAACATGTCTGGATGTGAAGGAACTGGGCCACAGGTGGCCTCGGCGTCCCTTGACTCGCTGGCAGAAGCAAGGGAGCTTGGCTTCTTAGGGGGTGCCTCCCCCCTGCCCCAGGAAGTGCCAGGAGGCACGGTCAGACCTCTCGGGTAGAGACCAGGGCCCTGGGCTGCTGGGCTGCAGGGGGGACAGGGTTTCCCAGGCTCCACTGGGGTTCCGGGGTGATTTCAGAAATCCACGTGGGCTGTCCTGGGCACACTAAGAACCATTCCTGCTCCTTCCTAGACGTCTGACTTCCCTGGGTGGATTTAAGTGATCCTTTTTCTCCTTCTACACAATCCATGTTGAATGTGAGTCTCAGGATTGATGAGGATGGGGCATTCTGAGGGGGCACAGGCACACAGCCAGGCCAGCCCAGTGTCTCTGGGTCATCTGCTGGGGCTAGGCTGGGGTCTGGGTCCGCCCTCCCCAGAGCCCTGGCTCTGGGGCCTCTGTCCATCTGCAGTTTGCTTTCCATTTGGTGCACCGTCGGGTTGAGGAATCGGCGTCTTTGTCTACTTTCCTACTTCTGTCAGCTCCGGGGCTGAGTGCTGGGCGAAGGGGCAGCCCACGGGCTCCCTGGAGGCTGCCCGCAAGGGCACACTCGGGGCCCCGTCCTGCGGCCAGGGCTTGGGAGGCACGTCTGGGGGCTCCCTTCTCTCCGACCTTGGACTGCGAACACAGCCAGGCGCTCCTGGATCCTCACACCCTGACGCAGCGTGACTTTGCCAGTACAAAGACCCTCACCTGGCACCAGGTCCAGGCGAGGATGCTGTGGAGAACCCAAGTGAGTTGAACTTGGATCACTCACCAGCGTGGGAGCCTGTTTCTTGCTGACTGCCACCCCTGACCTCCAGCAGGAAGGCTTCACAGAAGGATCCGGAAGGGCCCGGCCTGGTGTCTGTGGTGCTTCTGCAGCCAGGCCGGGACGCACCAGAATCACGCCTGTCAGACAGGCGGTCAGAGCCACTTTTCTCTCATCTCCTTGGTCCGTTTGGGACCCGGCTCTGTGGGTCTGCAGCCTCCCAGGGTGGGGGTCACTGTGGGCAGGGAGGCCGGTGCAGCCTGTGGACCACTCAGCGTGGATGTTGGCCGTGTGGCTTTAGGACACCTGGGCCCGCCTACCACGGGCCTCTCCCCTGCCCCGGCAAGACCAATTTTGGTGACTGCCACGTAGCTGGGTCCTGAAATAAAAAGCACCCATGATCCCTAGTTGGCGATTTTGTGTCCAAACCCAGGGGTGCTGGGCCTGGGTCTGTTGTGGCGCTGAGTGTGCAGCCAGGCTCCTTGGGCTCAAAACCGGCCACACCCCCTGCCGCCTTCCCACCCTTCGGCCCGTGGGCGTTCTCCACCCCTGCACCTGTCTTTGGGCTGAAGCAGCTGCTGGCATCTGCAGGCTCTTCCCTTATCAGAGGCCCCCGGTTCCTGCAGGGCTGGGGTCTTTGGCTTGCTTTGGCAGCTCCATTCCCATGGGTCTGCTCATCTTTCCCTGGAGCCCTCCACGGGCCTACTGCATGCCAGGCTCCGGGTCATGGTCATCTGGGGGCAGAGCCTCCCCACAGCTGCAGGAGGCTGCCCGGAGGATCCACCTGGAGGATGCGGTCCCTGAGCTCTGGGGGCGGGGTGGCCGCAGTTCTGCTGTGTCCATTACGACAGAGTGGGCTCAGCAGGGACCCCCCAGGCTCTGCACCCTTGCTCTGGGCCTCTGGGTCTGAACTGCTCAGAAGGGGAGGAAACCAGAGTCAGACCAGCAACCCACCCAGCCTCAGTGTTCTTGCTCGCCCTGGCCTTGCCCTGGTGCTGGTGAGGGGATGCCAGACCCAGCTCTGCTGCGAACTAGAAAGGCCGTAAGGAGAGAAAGAGAGAGGGAGAGAGGCAAGACGGATTCCACGAGCCTCCTTCTCTCTTTTACATTTGGTGGTTCACATGAAGTCTGTTTCCCGAGTACCTGCAGCAGGCAGGGCCACAGTGTTTCAGCAGAGGGACATGAACACTGGGCTGGCCGTGAGGAATGGCCCTGGGACTCTTTCCTGCGATGTGGTTTAATCCCATATCTATATTCAGAAGCTGGCAGTCAATATTATACCAAAATATGGATTTACATAATGGACTCCGATTGCTACCGCTAGTTGGGTCTCGGTGGGAAAGGGGCGTGCCTTGGAAAAGGCTCACACATTTGTATCTGCCCAGTGGGCTGTGACAGCTACCTTGGAGGGCCCTGGTCACATCAGTCCATAAAACATTTAAACAAAGACTGAATATCGTGCTCACCAGAGGATCCCGGTAGCTGACCACAGGAAGGCCGAGGTGGGTCCCCAGGCAGGAGAAGGCAGAGCTGTCTGGGAAGGCACCCAGCACTAATCCTCACCACTGCCCCCTGCCCTCCCGTGAAGTCCACCTGGGAGTCTCCAGGGAAGACCCCCGCCAGGGAAGGCCATGTGATAAGGGCCTCCCTCTATTGAAGATCCATGGCTTTGGCCTGACGGTACCCCAGCCCACACCCAGGGGACTGTTGGCCCTGGCTGCCCTGGTCGCCCAGCCCCAGGTGAACACAGAGTGGCCTGGGCCAGGGGGTGTTAGCCTGCAGGAAAGGAGCAAGCTGCCCACAGGTTCCAGGGTCCCTTCTGGAGGAAAGCCACAAAACAGGACCCCCAGTGACCAACAATATTGTGACTCCAGGCGGTTACAGCAGCTGCAGCAGCACCGGGGAGCCCGGCCTGGCTTGGGGGCTGTGTCCACCCCTTGGCCACCTGCACCTCTGAGGAGATGGCTCCCGGAGAAGTTTCTGGCCCTCCTTGCCACTTACTCTCCACCTCTTATTCGTGGAGTAACTGCTGCATTCCTCGATTCCGTGGAAGCCGGAGCGGGTGTGTTGGCCTGAGCGGACACTGCTGGCAGAGACCGGGTCCTGCAGTGGACCCTCTGCCTGCCGGTCACCTTGGGAGCGACTCCTTGGAGCAGGCAGGTGTGCGCCTGTGTGCCTGCTGGTGCTGTGTGGGCACCCGTGTGCACTGGATCTGACGCCCGAGTCACGTCCACCCCCAGGCAGTTTTGTTCTTATATTTGGGGTCGGTAACAGGGAGCACTCCCCTGCCCACCTGTGCTTGGAAAGCCGCTGAGTTTCATGGGACCCTGTGCCCTCAGCTCTGCGTGGTGTTGGAGACGGTTGCCGTGAGCAGCTGGTGCCAGGCCTGGCCCAGAGCTGTCTTGCAGCTGGTTGTAGTGGGAGAAGGGACGAGGCATGCTCCGAGGTAGAGAGGTGGCAGTGATCTGCGAGCACTTTCCTGCACGCCTGTAGCCCCCGAGAGGAAACAAAGAAGAGACGGCTCTTTAGACAATCCTGGGCCCTGGTGCTCATATTTAGAAAAATTAGGCCTCTTGAAAAATTACAGAATCATGCTGCCAGTGTCAGGTTGCGAGATAACGATGTGTCTGTGTGTGAAAATATTAAATTGCAATAACACGCCGGGCGAGTGCCTCTCTGAATGGGGTATTCAGTTCCCAGCTCGGGCTGAACATAAGCTAGTGACTGACAGAATACGAATGGTGTCCTAAGGTGGGGGGCTTACAGCCGTCCTGGGCCTTCCTGATCGGTCTCTCTGTCTGGGCCACCTAATCATCCTTTTCTTTAATGAAACAGCCCGATGGTGCGGCTAATTATTTATTTATCACATTAGCAGGGGGAAAAGCTATCAGAGACAAATCAATTTTTCCCTGAAAGTGATTTGACATGACTTTAAAAATAAGGCCTCCTACACTTCGCGGGGGCCGTGTCCTCAGACCCCCCAGAGTTCGTGGATGCTGCTTACGGGTCCGTTCCGTGGAAAAACGGAGAGCTGCTCGCGGGCCTGCAGTCTGCGAAAGGCAGACCCCGGCCAGGCCGCGTGCTTTCCGGCTGGGGGGACTTGTCGTGGACTCCGATTCCAAGCATCAGAGCATGTTGGATGGTTTCTTCCAGGCAAGTGAAATCTGAGCAGCAACAAGTAAAATTGGACGATGGGAGATGTTGGATGTCTGCGGAGCCCACGGAGGCTGGGTGTCTCTGGCTGTAAACCCACGTGAGAAGGGCATCCCGGCCCCTAACCCTCGGGACCCTTCAGCAGTTCTGTGCCCAAGGCTGTGAGATGTGCGTCGTGGGGGTGTGGTTTGGTGGCTGCACATTTGGCCGAGGGTCTTGAAGAACAAAAGTTCCTTAAGGGGGAAAAAAAAAAGCTGGAAAGTAAGAGAGCTGGGAAGTCCTGGGGCCAGATATCACGTCCCTGGAGGAGCTCTCTGGTTTCAGGTCTGGGAATCCGAATTGCAAAGCAGAGGGCCCCTGAGCTTTAACTTTCTCCCCATCGGAGGTGTTAATCTTACCTTCCAAAGGTTAGATAAAGCTGCTGAAAGCTGCTGTTTGTTATTGAATCTCATCTGCTAATTACGCCAGCCCTGGGACTCGGGTTCGAGGTCCCACTCCCTGCGCCTGAGCTCCTGGTGGGGCAGCTGCGATAAGAGCCATTTTCTGCCCCTGCCCAGGTTCTCTCTCTGCCCAGGGTTTTAGGTTCCCTCCGTCCTGACAGACTACCCTGGTTCAAAGGGGAGTGGGGGGCTGGCGGCCACGGGGGTGTGAGAAGCCCAGGCTCAAGACCTGGGCCCACGGCCTGGGACAGCCCCCTCCCTTGCCCACTGAGGGCTGCAGTGCCAAAGAAAGGGCTGAGGCTGGAGGAACGCAGGCCCCGGTCAGCCTCCAGCAGGACCTAGGTGAGAGTGTGGACCCGCCGCGGCCTGGAGGGGAAGCAGGGTGGTTCCCATTTGGTGAGAAGGAGGACGGGCCGGGGACCATTGCCGGGAGCCGTGGACATGGCAGGACAGCTGTGCATTAGGCACCTGACCACACAGCTGGTTCTGATCACCTGGCGTTGGTCTCTAGGGAGTGAGTGCAGCTTGGCCCTGGGCACAAGAAGGGTCACCTTGGAGGCCAAAGAGGTGCATGGTGGGGTCAGCCAGGCCATCTCCTGGAAGCCCCTGGTGTTCCACTGAACCTGGAAAAGCAAAACTGAGAGGCCCCCTTCCCTGCCTGCCACCAGGCCTTCCTGACCTGTGGGAAGAACCTGGGTGGAGCCCCCGTGAGTGCCACCCCCAAATCCGAGCTACCCATGGTCCCTGCGGTCCCCTGAGTTGAACCTGCCGGCTCCCGGCCTTCACTTCCTGAAGTCAAATGGGCTCCAGCACCTGGCTTGACCTGGACAAACCACAGGAACTAGATGGGCAAGG